GACCCCAGGTCTGCACCATTTGCCAGAAGTCCTGTTCTCCATTAGACAGAATTCCTCTAAATCAAAGAATGACCTGAATAGCTTAATTGACTTTGGAGATGGGCTTATAATGGAAGTGGCGATGGCGAGAGAGGTACATAAGCATTTCTGTTTGAACAGAACAGTCATAGAGTTAAAACACTAGTGGTCAAAGAATATTGGGCACCTAATTTCTTCATATACTTAGTCTGCCTTAAATAGTCTTTTACTTTAGCTGTCTCCACTCTGTTGATAAATTACAAATTTCCTTCACTTACACACTGTCACTGAAAGCACTGATTTCTTTTTTTTAATAGATACATAAAATGTGTCTAATAAAAAGTTAATCACTATCCCAAAGCAATTTCCCACAGAAAAAAACCCACTCAGCAAAAATATATTTTTCTCAATTTTCTTCTTTTTTATAGGGAAGGTGTTTTATATCTCTTCTCTCCTCCAAATTTTTAGAACAAAGTTTTGAGGTAAACATGCTAGTTTGGGGAAAACCTAAAATGAGTCATTATTTCTTTCCTCTGCCCCTTTAATTCCATTTTTTTTGCACAATTTTCTTTCATTTTCCAGTAATATCCAGAAGAAGACAGGAGAGTGAGTTACAGAGAAATACCAAATTAAGTTTTCTTCCTGCAACTGTGAAGGGAGGGCCACTAAATTCCTGAAGTCCTCATTTGGAGGGCATTTGTGGAATTTGTAGGGAAAATACTTCTCAGTTCTTGATCACGCTGACTCTTTGCTGCCTAGGAAGAATGCAGCTCAAAATGCACCTAGCTTTGTATCAGGCTGGTCTTGGTTTATCCCTTCAGCTCGGTTTTCTTTATGTTGAAGTATCTGCCTGTTGTTCTAGCAAAAGACAACCTTCCGCATGAGCTGCTGCCACTTTTTCCATTGCTGTTGTTTCTGTGAGTTGCTCCTCAAGAATGGTTGAATCTGGTGACACCTGTGCAGAAAGGCTGTTACTTGGTTATATTCATGGCATCATGTGTATTGAGGATGCTCATGGAAGAGATGATGAACACCTAGGAGCACTGAAGATCTAACTGTTCTTTAAAGCTGTGCTGGTAATAGGTGACACAAGCCAAATGGTGATACTAATACCTCCCCATGCTACCTGTGGCCATTTCCCCATAGTGCAGGCAGTGGAGATACTGTGGAGGAGGTCAGCCATCATCTGAAATGCATGAGGGAGACAAAGTGACTCAAGCTCCCCTATGCAGCATTGCAGGATGAGGACCCTCTGTCACAGCCAGGTAAGACCTGAGGCACTTGGAGCAGAGTGGTACCTTTGCACCGGGAGACTGGCACCCTTGCAGCTCACAAGGGAAGATGTTTGTTGCTCGAGGACTGCCTCCTCACCTGGGAGAGATGGTGGTGTTGTTTGGGTGATGGCAGACCATGCTGGAGGGCCATGAAAAGCATGCAAGGGGCTGTGCGGAGAGCAATGGAGCTGGTAGGCTCCAGGAGAGACCCTTTGCTGGCCAGGGTACTGACCCAAACCATCCTGTGGTAGCTGAGCTCAACACCTTTTCTGTGGACTTATCCTAAGGCATGAGGCACCTCACCCTGGGCACAAGGTACCCAGATGTGACAGGCCCAGTCCTGCCATGTCGGAGGGACCACAGGTCCCAAAGGTCCTAGACATGGTCTGCTGCTGTTGCCTGTTGTCAGCAGGTTTGGCTCCCTGGAATGCAGGGTAGAGCTCGGCAGTGCCAGAGACAAGCACTGCCATAGGCCATCAGCCTTGCTGTTCAAACAACATAGCGGGTTGGACCTGTCTTGATGAAGTGCAATACGAAGAAGGAAGAACTGGCCTCCTGCCCAGACCAGGACAATGCAGATTGAATCACTCTCACATTTCTCCCTGGCTTGACTTTGCATATGCAAAACGACCCACAGTGGGGGGCTTTGCTATGTGCTTATGCCAAAATAGAGATTCTGTGGATGAGCAAGACTCCTGACACCTCCTGTCATGACTTGTGGTTGGGTCAGCTGTGCAGCTCTTTGTTGGCTGTCAAACACAGATCCAGGAATGAATTCTTGTCTCATTGTCTTTAACTGGTGTGGTGTGCTTTCTGCAGCACTGCAAGAAAAGCCCCTCAGTTACGTGGTTGTGTGCCAGTTCAATGGGTCTGCACCGTCTTTCTAAGTCTTGCAGGATTCCCTTTTTCCACCAATTGTTTCTTGATCAGCAAGCTATTTGGAAAGTAAGGACACTTTCGCACCACTTTCACACAATCTGCCTCAAAGGCCTGAACATCTGTTAGGACTGTTGGGTGCAGCTGTGGTATGAATAGTCAGGATGGTGTCTGTCTTGTGTTTTCTGGCCAATTGGAAGATTCTAGCCAATGTATTATTAACTTAATGTTTTTGTGTTGGATAAGGAAAACGAAATGTTTTGTTCAGAGATTTTTTCTTATTTTGCCAGTATTTTGAGGGAAGACCTGTTTGTAGGACCTAGCTTCCACATCAAGAGATAAGAGGTTTCAGTAATCTCTGATGGTATTTTCCTTTATGAAATCTCTCTCTCCCCCTCTCTCCCTTGTTTGAGGCTTTAAGAAGAAATGCAGGCTTTTGTATTTTCTTCTTTCATTATGAAAAACCAAAGTCCAAATCTGTTAGTGACTTGGCAGCTACATTGTTGTACAAGGTGAGCAAAATGAAATGTAACAAAAGCTAATATAAAAGGTTTTGTTGAAGGGTGATGGTGGGGGAAATCTATATGCAAGAGTAGGAAGTAATGACCTCCTGAATGAGGTTGTAATCAGCAGTTAATTGCAGGTAGGTGTTTTATAAGGATTGGAAGTATCGCGCTGCCCTCTGATAAATCTGAAACAAGTGATCAAGTCTCAGAGCCCTGCATTTGCAAGTAATGTCTGCTGTGAAATCCATGCAGATTAGTACTTCCATTGTTTGCAGCTGGCTCAGAACAGTGCTCACAAGCAGAGCATCATAGCCTTGCTCTAGCTGCAATGTGTGTGCACTTCAGATCCTGTTGTCTTGTTCTGTACTGAGTGTAGGTTTTAGTTTATTACATCTTCTGTACAACTGTCCGTGTGGAAAAGAACCTGTGCCTCTGAAGCATTAAAAAATAAAACAGTAACAATGCAGACCCTCAGGTTGTTAATCTGGAGAGCTGTTCACAGAACAGGTCAAATTGATTTTGTAGATTCCTTAAATGAAAAGGAGTACTTAAGGGTGAGCTAGGATATCTGAGGTCCCCTAAGACCTACCTTATTTGTACTACTAATTTGACTTTTTTCCTCATTAAACTAAGAGAAACCCAAACCAGAGGTCCAGCCATGTCACGCTAGAATTGTAAAGATAAAGGGCAATCCCTTCTGTGTAGAGCTTCACCTGAATAGGTGAGATTGGAAGGACCAGAAAGGAAAGGGAGACAAGAAGAAGTGGGTCAGCAGTAGTCAGGATTTTGTTCTTAGGTTTCTGGATGCAGGCTAGTTTCCAGTTGTATGGTCTGTAGACAGTAAGTGTCAAATGAAGACTTCATGTCTATGTTCTGCTTCACCCTGGTTATTTACTGTCAGGTGGTTGGGGTCCTTAGGTGTCACGTGGAAGCCAGTGCTGCAGCTGCTTTTGTGCATCCATAACTTACAGGTTACTCTTGGCAACCATCAACTCATGTGCTCTCACAAACAGAAAGCTGTCTTGGCCTGTCATTGGTGGTGGAGACCTTGTTTCAAGGTATCGTTTGGATTTGAAAATGCTACATTTGGGGGGAGGGGCAGGAGATGGGGCAGTTCCTTAATTTTACTGCAGTGGTACAGGGCATAGTCTTTGGCAGGTGGCTGCTGCTGCTATTATACAGAACTGACTTCTATTTTTGTTTTTCTTTTTTCTCTTCTTTCTTTCTCTTCTTTTTTTTTTAATGTTTCCTGTGAACTGTTCAAGGTTTAAGTCAGAGCCTGTATTGTTTTTGCTTGATTTGGCTTAGTCTGAAGCCCCTGTCATCTCTTAATTAAATTATTTTACAAGGGGGAAGGGGTGGTGGTGGGAGAACACATGGCACCACAGAACCAGAGAAGGTGTTTTGTGATTAATTGTCTCACTGATTCCAAGTTTTTTTTTGTTTCAGATTTTTCTCTCCTTTTGCCCTAGAGCCTGCCAACAGCTATGCAGGGCAGCAGGTGCTGAGAGTCGAGCTGTGCTTGGAGAAATGGCTTCATGGTACTTGTCCTTCTGGGAGAGGATTCGGTTTTCATTTCCAACTTCTCCAGTTCAGGTCAGCAGTGTGCAGCCTTGGGAGGAGCTGGGAGGAGTGGGAGCCTCTCTGATGTATTGCAGCAGTCTGCTCCTCCTCTGATTTCATGCATGATTTACAGCATGCTGAACACCCTTCTGTCTTTCTGACACGTCTCCAAGGCCCTCTTCATCGTAGTATCTGAACACTGTGTGATCTTCAGTGTTGTTATCCTCCCAGAACAGGAAGAAGACCATGTTTCAACACCTGCACCTTTCCAACATCCATAACCTTTATCATTTTCTGCATGCTACCATTTACTTTTCAAGGAGGTTGGGTCTTTATGATCAAAGTCCTGGACATTTTTATTATGTAATCACAAAGTGAGCTGACAATGAAAATCTGTATTACATTAGGGCCTGTAGAAATGCAGATTAAAAAATGGTCCTTATCTTGGAGATGTTACAATTCCCTCTGCAAGGATCCACTTAGAGGGAAAATGAATTCCAGAGAGGCTGGCAGGTGGGGTCTGTGCGAGTGCGTGAACATGGATGTGCTTGGGTGCTCTGCTCCTGAGGAAGTGAGTACTGAGAAAGCAGTATGAAATGGCATGCTTATGAGAGTTTGTTGCTACAGAGCTGGAAGAATAAATAACACTGCTGAACATGAATTTGTCCTAGTTTGTTTTTAAGGCAGAATACTTTCAAAGCAATGTAACACTTTCTCATAAATACGAGGCTGTAAATCCTTCACTTGAAAAGGGTTCCCATACCCATATTTCAACCCCAGGGGTGATGTTTTCTATGATGTAAAGCTTTTTCTCTTCTATTGAGTCCCCATGTCCCATTTGTTGCAGGCGGGATTTGTGATCCCACTTGCTCACTGAAGACACTTGTGGCATTGCGGAAAGAAACTTTTCCCTGGGAATCATCCCTACTAACAGCGATGGCTGTTCTGTGTTTGAATCTGCCTGTCCTTGTAAGATGTGTTTGCCAAAGAGGAGATTTTATATGTGCAGAGGGAGCACTGGAGTTGTAACTTCCTGGCACTCAGCTTTGCAGGCAGTTCTAAGAAAACACATCCGTGTGCTTTCACATCATGAAAGTGATGTGGAAAAACTTTGCAACCAATTTGGGTGTATAGAGAAAATTATTGTGATGGGAAAGTTTAAAAACAGCCGTCCTGGATGATCAGAAATGCTCAGTAGATATAGATAAAGGACCCATGGCCTGTTTCAGTTTTTGTCTGGTTTTTTTTGTTTTTTCTTTTTCCTCCTTGAAGGGGCTGGAGGGGTTTACACTTCTGGCAAAGAGAAAAAAGGTATCATAAGGTTTGAATTATTTTGCGCACTTGGAAAAAAGTTTTTTCTTTCAGAGTTAGGGAAAAATATGAAGTGCAAGCAAGTCTCTGCCTATATTTACATATTTTAAAAACTAGAGCCAACTTTGATTAGAGTCTGAATGAAACGGAATACTTGTCAGGCCTTTTTTTTTTTCTGCTGGGAATGAAAGTAGAAGGATAAGTGATTTGTTTTGAGATAATCAGGGCAATGTAATCAGAGTTATGGTAGCAGTGGGAGTCTGAAGTGAAGATCAAAGAGTTTAGGATACTTTAGGAAGGCCCATCAAGATGGTCTTCACACCAGAGAACTTGCAAAGATGGGCGCAATACCTGGGGGAAGGATGAAGCTTTTACTCTCTGACTCAACATATCTTGTCAGAAATGGCAATCTCTCTACTAGGTGGAGAAAGGATAGAAAGCTCTGGTTGATCATCTGTCTAAGGACTGGTGAAAGGTGGTGAGGGGAAAGGAGTCCTCATAAAGACATTATTCTTCATGCAAAAGTGAAAGACAGCAAGCTCCTCCGAGTGCAGTGTCTGCCGTTCCCATAGGCAGGAACTGCCCTTGCATGTTATGCCCATATTGTCGGTCTGATCCTCGTTGTGTCAGAAGAAGCATTGTACCAAGAGGAGCCAACCTGCCTCTTCTTCCTATAGAACCGCAAAGGACAGCCCCCTGCTGCTGTTTATCCCATTAATGCAAGCAATCACCTTTTTTCACAGGACTCCACTCCCATTTAGTTTCCAAATGAGGAAGCTGGGTACTAATTTCCCCTATCAATCCAGTGGTCACTGTTTTTTAATGGGAACTGAGCTTATGGCAGAATCAACTGTTAATAAAGGGTTGCTTTTCTCTTCAAATATTTACATGAACAGCAGATTTTGCAATGCCATTTTTTGAGATATTCTTCTCTCTGCAAGGGTTAAGCAATTCACTTTTTGTTATAGGCAAGCTGGGAATGCATGTATAATAAATGTTTGTCATATAAGCAATTGATCGGCAATAATTTTAGAGGAATCTTCCACACTTCTTGAAGGTAACAGGTATATTTTACAATACATGTATTGTAAATACTAATTTCACATGACTAAAATTTCACTGTCTGCAAATGGATTTCCAAGACTGGGGTAGACTCTAGAGCCTTTTAACTGTATGTTTGAGTTGGCCCTTTCAGAGGTCCATCTTTTGAATCCAGCTGCAAGAGGAAGAGGCTTCACTTTGCTTCAGGGAAAAAATGCCCTGTTGAGGCATTTAACCTATTATAAAATGACCGACTCCATTTGCTTTGAGCTTGGGGCAAGGTAATAAATTTTGGTTGGACTGATTTCCACTCAGTGACGTTCTCTATTATCTTTTGCCAACCCAACCATCTCATCGTAAGAAAGACAGTTAGAATGGTATCTTCCAAATGAATTGACAATAGGAAATTCTGTGGGTTTATAATGTTGGTGTATATGGTGTGTGTGTGCCTGTCCTATTTAGAAAGTGGAGAAGGAGGAAGTTTCCATTTAGACAGAGGTTGTGACATTATCTTGCAGTATGAGCTTTTTCCTTCACTTCTGACATTCAAGCATTGGAGAGGAAATCTATCACATCCTTTGTTCTGAGGCTGGACAGAAAAAGGAGGACAGAAACTGACATGTTTTCATGAGAAAAATAGTTTTTAGTATCTCTTCCACTCTTATTCCAGAGACCAGTGTGATGGCATCAAGGAATGGTTGGTTAAAAATGAATTGAGAAAGGAAACATGCAATGTAAAATGGGATCTTTATTTTGTAGTCACCTAGTAGGCTTTAAAAGAATTACAAAATGGTGATTTATCTCTACTGTTGCCTTTGCTAGGAACAGTCGTGAGCTTTCTTGCTGCATTTGCAGGCCTTGCTTGGAAAACCAACCTGTTACTTTGCAGACCTGTCTGTTTGTGGTACCTAGTCTGTTGTTGTGAAAACAACGAAGGTGTTGTAGCAGTCCCTTACTCCATCCACATCACCAGGCTGCATCAAGGGTCAGAATGCACTGCAAATTATGTGTGAAATGTGTTAAAGTGACTGAAGGCAAACACCCACAGGAATGCCACTCTTTACATTTAAAAGACCAGTTCAAAATTTCTGCCTTTATAGAATTGAGAGGTATTTGTCACTGAGCTATAAACAGGCTCTGCCCTCCTTGCAAACAACATCTGTGAGTAACATAGGCCAAAAGACCTGAATCTTACAGCAAGAACTTGCCCTTATCCAAGGCATTGCTGATATTGTTAGAGCTGCCACCCCCCTCTAAGTGTGGATGAAACAGTGCTGGGGTAAAAAATCATGGGTTGGTATAGTTAATCCTAATCTAGGAGGCAAAATACTTCTTTATCTTTGAAGTACACATTTTTATTGGCATCTATCCAAGGATTTTTTTTCTGACGTGACGGTTTAAGCAAAATATCCCTTCCTATTTTCCCAAACCCCCTGATAAAGTTATGGTGGTACAACTTTAAATTTCGATCCTTCCTTGGGCCACATATAACAATTCCCCTTTTTAGTTTCCTCTCTGATTAGAGTGGTATTAGGAGGGTTTCACGTCAAAGCAAATCAATTACAATTTTTTCAATTTTCCAATTACATTGACTGTCTTTTAATTTGTTTCCCCAGAGGAAGCTTTTCCTGCTAGTGTACCTGACCTGTGAGCAGTCAGATGTTGGCAAAAGAGATCTCAAGAATCCATGTGCCATGGTGGGAGCGGGAGGGTCCCTTCTGAGGGATGCTACTAGAAGGGATGCAGAAACTTTGAAAGGGTCTCTAGAGCAAGAAGACACATTCCTTGCAGAAAGGGCAAGTAAGAAAAACACATGAACATCAAGCTGCGCAAGTGAACAAAACAGCAGCTGCAGAGAGCAGAATGCCAAGAGCTTACACTGTGAGGTCCTGCCATACATGTCCTAGTGCCCAGATGCTTGGATTCATCTTGGTTCCCAGCACATATTTTTGCATAGAAGTGAACAAACAAGCCGCTTGAAGGAAACTTAAGAGCATCTTTGGACTTGTTTTCCTATGCATGTGAAGCAAGTACAAGTAAACACAGTTGGTTTTTCTTTTAACCCAGCTATGAAAAAAAGTGTGCTATAAAATTCATGTTGTAGCTTTTATATTTAGCCCTAATTGTGGCCTGATGTATAGAAGAATTACAAAACCACAGCACATCTTCTAAGTAGTATAAATTGTGAGTTACAGGCTCCTGCTCGGTGCACTTTCAAGATTTTCTGTTTTGTGTACAGATCTTCCGCTTTCTGCTGAAAACAGCAAAAGAAATGTCTGTGAAGTCAGATCAATCCTTAAAGTGAAGTTTAGGCTTCTATGTTTTAATTAGATATCATCATTTTGGGTTCCAGTTGTTTGCATCTGTGGAATAATTTACAGCAACAGTTGATCTTTAACACAATCCTGCCTAGTCACATTGTGGTCATGGTTAATGATTTCAGTGCTCTGTGAAAGGTTTTGGGGTAGGGGTGTTCGAAGTTTATAAAAAAAAAACCTGCCCAAATTAATTAAAATTCTGACACACAGAGTATTTTACACAGACTTGTTAAAAAGCACATCAGTCAAAATCATGGAAGTGATGTAGGGAGCTAAGTGTAGTCACACTGATGACGCCCCTGCTTGCGTGATGCTGTCATTGAGATCTGAAAGCTCTTCTAACTTCATGAAACAGACACAGTATTTTTGAAGTGTGTTGAAATAAACGATCCCTGAAATAAAGATGAATTTAAAAATGTTACGAGTAGCCTTAGCGTAGCCCGGACGCGTATCATACTTAAAACAGATGACCTAAAGGCGTAAAGGTGAACATATTTCATTAATATAGACCCATGCCTCCTCCTCATTGCAGCAACAGTATGCAGACTACAGACATATAGGACTAATTTATTTTTTTCCTAGAAGTTTAAAAATGCATGGAGAATTTGTGTCAAGATCCTCCGAGTGGTTTGTTAATGTTTTTGCATCCTAAAAATATAGTGGCTTTTTTTTTTTTTTTTTTCTTTTGTAAAGTTCCCAGCCATGTTATGGTCTTGGTTGTGTTCACTTTTTCTCCCTTTCTGCTTCAAGTTTGGAGCTCCAAGGCTTTCTTTTGGGTTTTATCAAATTACACACTTAAGAAAGGCATACATTTCAGAAACAGATGGATTTAATGTGCATGAAAATATATGCCTTTTAAAGACACTAAATTAGTAGTTCCACTTCTACCCCTTTTTATTGAAGACAGAGCTCTGAGAGATCTCTGGTCTAAAGCATAACTTTACAGACATCAGCAAAATGAGATTTATTTGCAGGGAAATTTGACAGAACATCAGAGAAACCATTAGCAACACCAAATCTGACAGTTTCTAGTAGACATGAAGGGAGCTGGGACAGTACTAATAAAAATACATAGAAAAAAAGGCCTTAAGAATCCGTAACCAGTGGTTATTTCAAGACTCTTATTCACCATATGTATTGAGTGCATCTGCAAATTCACAGCTGCCCATGTCTCTAAACATTTGTCTTACAATAAAGTTAACTGGGAACAAGAAAATTTTTT